ATTGTGCGCCACCATATGGGACTCCCAATCACGGCCGGTTGTGATACAGCCTGGAATCGAACCAGGGGGTCTGTAGTGACGCCTCAAACACTGAGATGCAGCCTCTCCTATTTTAACTCTGTTTTTAAATGTGGTTGGGGAAAAGATACACTTAGAAATGAGGCGCCTCATTTCCAACACAACAACATGATTATGCTGATTATGCATCATTATTACATTATATTTTTAGTCATTGCTCTCATAAAAACTATAAGCTGCATTTGTAGATAGATACATCACCATCAGCCTTTAGAGAGACCCTTTCCACTGACCCTCCCTCAGATGTGTGTTGCCTTTCTCCTGTGATCAGCTCTACGATCAGGCGTGGCGCTCCAGTGGAGTTAAAACAACCGGCCACTACCATCATCATGCCTGGCGCTCCAGTGGAGTTAAAACAACCGGCCACCAACAGCACCTCTACTGTGGTGCCGTGTCTGTCCACAAAGGCTGCAGCTCAACACCTCCCCCTAGAGGTAGAGAGAGAGAAGACAAGCTAGTAAATACCTTTTCAGGACAGGAGGTTATAGAAATGTATTGTGTATAACAGATATGAGTCTCTGACATATAGAATAGGGACTTTTATCAGCTCTACGCCATTTTCTATCTGCAACATACTGAACATGCACCCTTCCTAAACAAGCCCCAGAGGGACACCATGTTTGTGAAACAGGGTTTTTCTGCAGCCAGCTCCTCATCCTGTGTGTCTGTTTGACAGATGATAGATGACAGAGAGTGGAGTCAGCCTTTAAATGCTCCTCTAAGGGCAGAGTGATGATCCTTTTCCTCTTTAGGTCCTTTACATGTCTGCCACATCTCATCTACGCTCTACAGTAAGTATGCACTTATGGTGTCAATATGACTTTGGGACAGAAGGACTTCTCTGCCCCATCTGTTCTTTGTTGTTCTGTTGTGAGAGGTCAGGTATGAGATGTCCTGTACTGTGCCTATGGTTTTCCTGTTGCGTATTGCTACTATTCTCACACGCCAGTGTTTGCAGAGAGACTGCAGGCCTATTGGCTGCCTTGGCCCTCCAAGCCGCCATGCAGCCAAGAAGTTGTCTAACCCTGGAGTGTAAACTATGTGTTTACCCCTTGCTACAGGGTCATGCACAACAGCCTGTGTGTGTGTGTGTGTGTATCTGTATATTTAGCTCCAGCTCAATATACAGGCAGAAACCTCAGCAGCAGAGTGTAGCTGAGAGGCCTTGACAATACCCTCTTCCCCCTGATAGGAATCACAGATGCCTCCTTAGCCCCCCCCCTCTCTCTCTCTCTCTCTCTCTCTCTCCTCTCTCACTCTCTCTCTCTCTCTCTCTCTCTCTATCCCCCTCTCTCTCTTTCTCTCTCCCCCTTCTCTCCTCTCTTTCCGCCCTCTCTCTCTCCCCCCCATCTCTCTATCTCTCTCCCCTCTCTCTCTCCCTCGCTCTCTTCCCCCTCCTCTCTTGCTCTCTCTCTTTCTCTCCCCCCCCCCCCCCCCCCCCCCCCTCCCCGCCCCCCCCCCCCCTCTCTCTCTCTCTCTCTCTCCAGGCCAGGGTGTAACACCATGCTGCAGATAGATAGCTTAATTGGCATTTGAATTAGATGTGTATCAAAGTAATTACCCAGCCTTCCTGACTCTTGGCAAGCCACTCATTGACAAATGCGTGTCAATGCTGGATCATCTCTTGCCCTGGAGTAGACAATAAGAGGGGAACACACACACACACACCATGCATGTAGGCGCACACACACACACATCACACACAAGTACGCACATGACACACACATAGTGGGGACACACAGCAAGACACGGTCTTAGACAGCCACTGGGCCATAGGTTCACACAGTGAAAACATGGTGTGTATTCTGTTGTACAGAAATGGAATCTAAGCTTTTGTTATGTCTAGTTTCACAAGGAAAGGAATGTGTTAAGAATGTGTGTGGTATGATTGTGGATTTCCAGGAGCCTGAATGACCTTGAATTATTGAAAATTCCAGAAGAAAATGCCAGAAGAAAAGGTGTTAAGGGCTAGTAGGCGTACTGTGCTAGCTAGATTACTCGTTTTCACTTGAGAAGAAATACTGCACCAAATATCTTAGATGTAAAATTGCACGACTAAGACCTCCTTGACAAAAACATCCAAATTAATGACAGATTTCTTGAGTTATCTTAGATTAATTCGGACTATTTTGAGGAAGCATATACTGGCTACAGCGTCTCAGAATGGACAAACAGTACTATTGCCGCTTTCTTCTCATTTTTCAAGCGAGTATGCGAGGCACAGACGTTCACTTCTGCTAGGAGCAAACCGAACCTAGTATGCAGACGCCTTAAGACTTTTCAGTAATTTCAACAGTCAAACACTGTAGAATGCACAGTAAAATACCATGTGTTTTACATAATTAATTATGGTGCATTGTTGGAAAATGTTGTGCGCAGGGAAAGAGTCTCTGGCTCATTAACATATTTTAAGGCGTGCCTTGTTAGAGGCTATATTTGTTGCACCCGTGAGTGAGAATGCTGTACCCCTACACAATACATACTGTATACTGTGTTTTAGGAATTCAACAAACAAACCAATTGCTGCCAGTCCATTTAATAATGTCCATTTGATCTGTTTTGACCTGTAGTCGCTGCCCCTTTGGAAGCCTTTGTTTAGGGCTCTGGAGGTGCAAGTGATGTAAAACAGTATTAATTAATATGCTGTAATATACAAATGCCTAACAGCCAACTTACTTGCTCCAATCCCTTGTAATTACAGTACAATACTGTAAATATAACTGTCTTACAGTTTATTAGTCACCTTTACAGTATTGTACTGTTTTTCATTGCTTTGACATTATAGTAATTTATAGGAAGCTGGCATCAAGTTACAGTGGATATCTCAGTAATGTATTGGTACTATCCAGAGATAGTCAGAGATATATCATAAGATATCTTGTTGTAATTACAATTATTTTGAAGACCAGTGTATCCTTAACTACAACAACATTCTCAGTAACAGTTACAGAAACTTTTCACTTGCTATTTTTATGTTTTATTTATTTAACTAAGCAAGTCAGTTAAGAACAAATTATTATTTACAATGACGGCCTACATCGGCCAAACCCGGACGACGCTGGGCAAATTGTGCATCGCCCTATGGGACTCCCAATCATGGCCGGTTGTGATACAGCCTGGAATCGAACCAGGGGGTCTGTAGTGACGCCTCAAGCACTGAGATGCAGTGCCTTAGACCGCTGCGCCACTCGGGAGCCCATGACTGTAATATGTGCTTATTTTATCAAGTTTGGCTGAATGCACCTACTGTAAGTTGCTAAACAAGAGTGCACGCTAAATGACCAAAATGTAAATGTAAACATGAAGACTTGCAAAGAACGCTGGGTAATATGTCACTGGGTAATTACAGTAATATGCTGTAATTGTAATTAGTACTGTAAGTTAGATTATAGTAACTCACTTGGTACTGTAAATTAGATTACAGTAACAATTCCGGTACCGTAAAATTGATTATAGTAGCTATACTGTCAAATAAATTACAGTAACTTACTGGCAACAATTAGTACATTTTACAGGAAATGTTTTACAGTGTAACCAAACACCATACTGTATGTAGGCCTAAGCACAGTCACTTTTACACTGTTGCTATTCTCATCAGGCAAAAACAGTCTGTTTCAACTTAGCGGTCCCTGCAGAAAGTCATCTTAGAATGAGAAGATAGAATCTGCAGGCTGGCTGGCCTTTGAGGATGAACAAGAGCGAGAGAGAGAGAGAGAGAGAGAGAGGGGGGGGGGGAGAGAGAGAGCGAGAAAGAGGGGGAGAGAGAGAGAGAAAGAGAGAGAAAGAGAAAGAAAAACAAAACGAGAAAGAGAGAGAGAGAGAGCTGAGTAAGGAAGGAAGGAGGGGCGAGGAAGCGTTAGTAGGGAGTAGGAATGTGTTGTGGAGTGTTACATGGTTCCTGGTGAGTTATATAATGATTGGTGCATATGTCAGCTTCACAGCTGTGGAGCAACAATCACACACAGCTGAGGGCTACAGAGAGAGGGAAAGAGAGAGAGGAGAGAGATGAGAGAGAGAGAAGCGAAGAGAGAGAGAGAGTAGAGGAGATCTAGCTATATCTGATGTTAGATAGATAGAGAGCGAGCAGAGATTGCGGCTGCGATGTTTTTGCTGATCCCTGGTAATATCGAGAGACTATACAGTGCTTGAGTGGGAACAAGAGGAGGGGGATGGAGGGAGGAGAGAAAGAGTGATAGAGGAAGATGAGATGAGGCCAGCAGAGAAGGATGTGGAGGAGGTTGCAGAACCATTTCTCCTGAAACTACTACTCTCTGATTGTGTTTTATTCTTCTAAAGCTTGTGTAAACAACAGTGTGAGAGGGAACGTGAAGCATGAAATGATATGGATGGAACAGTCCCATTCCTTCTATTAATCAGCAATACACCCTGACTACTCGTAGATGTTGGATGTTTTGTGCTATTTTTGTTGTTGTGATTAACTGAGTTTGTGAACTGCAGTTCAACAGCTTGTTGATAATCTAAAGGTACCAAAGTGTCTGCCTGTATTTGTTCACCTTCAATGCCTTGGACTCCTTTGTGCCTCTAGACTCATCCTGTCTGTTGGGGTCTGTGAGAGGGCTTTTTTTACACACAGTCAGAGCTTTCAGTCAGAATGTGTGTGGAAAGCATTTTCAGGGAGGATCATAGGACTCCAGAAATAGGTACGGTAGAGGGCTACAGTAACCTTGAATCTCTCCAGTCTCAAACACAAAGCCACAATACAATCCGCACAGCTACAATTGTGGCTTCCCCCCGGTTAGTGCTTCAGAGAGGGCCTTGGTTTTGTTGTAGGCGGTATGTCTTTGTTAAGTATAGAAGTTGGCCTCTTAAAATCCTAGATCAGCAACATCTATCTACCCAGATAAAACTTGTATCTACCTTGACACTGATCTAAGGTCAATGCAGCGTTCTTTCTCCTAAGGCTATGCTTTGGGAAGGGGAAGCTGATCCTAGATCTGTGCCTAAGGGCAACATCTTCCCAGAGCTTGTTTTCTTGTAAGGGGTTCAGAGAACAGTGTTGTACCCCTGACCTTTGCCCTTTCCCCTGCAGGCAGACCCGGGAGCAGGAGACGCCCCCTGACTTCTTCTACTTCTCGGACTTTGAGAGACACAATGCTGAGATCGCTGCCTTCCATCTGGACAGGTAAATCCCACACCTGTACCTGACACGGAAGAATCCACAGTGTGTATGTGTGTGTGTGTGTGTGTGCTCGTGCGTGCACACCCACCACCTCTGAAGTTAGTCAGACACCCACCACCTCTGGAGTTAGTCACACACATTGTGTCATCATTTACGTATGGCATCAATATGTGTCAAAAATAAATAAATAAAATAATGTATCTCCCCCAAAAAAATGCATACAGGGAGGGACCAGGAAATGAGGTCACAATCCAGACACAGCGGACGGATAAGAGATACATTTTAATACCATGTGTAGACTCATATCTGAAAATGTGGACACAATCAGAAGATCAGGACAAAGGACGCATGTTAGCGGCAGGTATAAACGGGGCTCATGTCTGTATATCTGAGGAACAGTTAGCAGGCAGAGTTCTGTGTGTTACTCTAATAAAGCTCTAATCATCAGGAGTCTCATGAGTCGTACTGACTGACTGGCTGAGCACTGCCTTCCTGATCTTATAGGTGCATCTCAAATGGCACCCTTTTTCCTACATAGTGCACTACATTTGAACAGAGCCCTATGGTGCACTATGTAGGAAATAAGGTTCCATTTGGGATGCAACCTATAACAGCAGGAAGGCCATAGGGCTCCGGTCAAAAGTAGTGCACTATGTAGGGAATATGATTCCATTTGGGACATAGATTTGATTTAACAATGACTAGCTAACCCAACCACCCGGCTCTGTCTGCTCTGTCTGCTCTGTCTGTCTGTCTGGTCTGCTCTGTCTGCTCTGTCTGTCTGGTCTGCTCTGTCTGCTCTGTCTGTCTGGTCTGCTCTGTCTGCTCTGTCTATCTACTCTGTCTGCTCTGTCTGCTCTGTCTGTCTGGTCTGCTCTGTCTGCTCTGTCTGTCTGGTCTGCTCTGTCTGTCTGGTCTGCTCTGTCTGCTCTGTCTATCTACTCTGTCTGCTCCGTCTGTCTGGTCTGCTCTGTCTGCTCTGTCTATCTACTCTGTCTGCTCTGTCTGCTCTGTCTGTCTGCTCTGTCTGTCACCTCTGTCTGCTCTGTCTGTCTGCTCAGTCTGTCTGTCTGTCTGTCTGTCTGTATGCGTGTCTGTCTGTCTACACTCTGTATTATAATAATACTGCCATTATGTTACACTCCGTATTATAATAATACTGCCATGGTTACGCTCCATATTATAATAATACTGCCATGCTTACGCTCCATATTATAATAATACTGCGATGGTTACGTGCCATATATAATAATGCTGCCATGGTTACGCTCCGTATTATAATAATACTGCCATGATGGTTACGCTCCGTATTATAATAATATTATAAAATAAAATAAAATGTATTTGTCACATGCGCCGAATACAACAGGTGTAGACATTACAGTGACATTTTTACTTACAAGCCCTTAACCAACAATGGGAAAATAAGTGTTAAGTAAAAAATAGATAAGTAAAAAAATATGAAAAATAACAAAATAATTAAAAAGCAGCAGTAAAATAACAGTAGCGAGGACTATATACAGGGGGTACCTGTACAGAGTCAAAGTGACTATGCATAGATAATAAACAGAGAGTAGCAGCAGCGTAAAAGAGGGGCTGGGGGGGGGGACAATGCAAATAGTCCGGGTAGCCATTTGATTAGCTGCTCAGGAGTCTTATGGTTTGGGGGTAGAAGCTGCTAAGAAGCCTTTTGGACCTAGACTTGGCGCTCCGGGACCGCTTGCCGTGCAGTAGCAGAGAGAACAGTCTATGACTAGGGTGGCTGGAGTCTTTGGCAATTTTTAGGGCCTTCCTCTGACACCGCCTGGTATAGAGGTCCTGGATGGCAGGAAGCTTGGCCCCAGTGATGTACTGGGCCATACGCACTACCCTCTGTAGTGCCTTGCGGTCAGAGGCTGAGAAGTTGCCATACCAGGCGGTGATGCAACCAGTCAGGATGCTCTCGATGGTGCAGCTGTATAACTTTTTGAGGATCTGAGGACCCATGCCAAATATTTTCAGTCTCCTGAGGGGGAATAGGCTTTGTCGTGACCTCTTCACGACTGTCTTGGTGTGTTTGGACCATGATAGTTTGTTGGTGATGTGGACACCAAGGAACTTGAAGCTCTCAACCCGCTCCACTACAGCCCTGTCGATGAGAATGGGGGCGTGCTCGGTCCTCCTTTTCCTGTAGTCCACAATCATCTCCTTTGTCTTGATCACGTTGAGGGAGAGGTTGTTGTCCTGCCACCACACGGCCAGGTCTCTGACCTCCTCCCTATAGGCTGTCTCATCATTGTTGGTGATCAGGCCTACCACTGTTGTGTCGTCAGCAAACTTAATGATGGTGTTGGAGTTGTGCTTGGCCATGCAGTCATGGGTGAACAGGGAGTACAGGAGCGGACTGAGCACGCACCCCTGAGGGGCCCCCGTGTTGAGGATCAGCGTGGCAGATGTGTTGTTACCCACCCTTACCACCTGGGGGCGGCCCGTCAGGAAGTCCAGGATCCAGTTGCAGAGGGAGGTGTTTAGTCCCAGGGTCCTTAGCTTAGTGATGAGCTTTGAGGGCACTATGGTGTTGAACGCTGAGCTGTAGTCAATGAATAGCATTCTCACGTAGGTGTTCATTTTGTCCAGGTGGGAAAGGGCAGTGTGGAATGCAATAGAGATTGCATCATCTGTGGATCTGTTGGGGCGGTATGTAAATTGGAGTGGGTCTCAGGTTTCTGGGATAATGGTGTTGATGTGAGCCATGACCAGCCTTTCAAAGCACTTCATGGCTACAGACGTGAGTGTTACAGGTCGGTAGTCATTTAGGCAGGTTATCTTAGTGTTCTTGGCACAGGGACTATGGTGGTCTGCTTGAAACATGTTGGTATTACAGACTCAGTCAGGGACAGGTTGAAAATGTCAGTGAAGACACATGCCAGTTTGTCAGCGCATGCTCGGAGTACACGTCCTGGTAATCCATCTGGCCCTGCGGCCTTGTGAATATTGACCTGTTTAAAGGTCTTACTCACATCGGCTACGGAGAACGTGATCACACAGTCGTCCGGAACAGCTGATGCTCTCATGCATGCTTCAGTGTTTGTTGCCTTAAAGCGAGCATAGAAGGGATTTAGCTCGTCTGGTAGGCTCGTGTCACTGGGCATCTCGCGGCTGTGCTTCCCCCTTGTAGTCCGTAATAGTTTGCAAGCCCTGCCACATCCGACGAGCGTCGGGGCCGGTGTAGTACGATTCAATCTTAGTCCTGTATTGACGCTTTGCCTGTTTGATGGTTAGTCGGAGGGAATAGCAGGATTTCTTATAAGCATCCGGGTTAGAGTCCCGCTCCTTGAAAGCGGCAGCTTTCAGTGCGGATGTTGCCTGTAATCCATGGCTTCTGTTTGGGGTATGTACGTACGGTCACTGTGGGGACGACGTCATCGATACACTTATTAATACTGCCTTGGTTACTCTCCGTATTATAATAATGCTGCCAAATGTTACGCTCCATATTATAATAATACTGCCATGCTTACTATCCGTATTATAATAATACTGCCATGGTTACACTCCGTATTGTAATAATACTGCCATGGTTACACTCCGTATTATAATAATACTGCCATGATGCTTACACTCCTTCTTATAATAATACTGCCATGGTTACGCTCTGTATTATAATATTACTGCCATGGTTACGCTCCTTATTATTATAATAATTATATTATGGAGCGTAACCATCATGGCAGTATTATTATAATACGGAGCGTAACCATGGCAATATTATTATAATACAGAGCGTAACCATGGCAGTATTACTATAATGTCGGAGCGTAACCATAATGGCAATATTATTATAATACGGAGAGTAACCATGGTGGTTAAACTCAGTAATATAATAATACTGCCATGGTTACGCTCCGGTCTCCATAGCTACATACTGTAGTGACGTGGAGGTCTGCTAGTTTTCTTTCAGGTCATTCATTCTATGTCCTTTATAGTCCCCTGCCACGGCCCTTTTCACACAACAAGGCTTTTCTCTGTCTGGCTCTTGTATGTTGAGACACAACAGTTGTAGTCAACACGGCTGTGGTGTGAAGTTGGTGATGATAATGTACTTGTTATCGCTTAGGCTTTCACACACATACATACACACACAGTGTACATAGATAAAGTATAAAGCTGGTTAAAGCTGTATCTGCCTGGAGGCACAATTTAGCATTCAGCAATAGCAGACAGTCTGCCACACATCTGGTATGTCACTAGACCCAGTTGGCACACACACACACACACACACACACACACACTCTCTCTCTCTCACACACACACACACACACACACACACACACACACACTCACACACACACACACACACACACACACACACAGGCATGCGTTGTAGGGAAGGGGGAGAGGAAACCAAAGGCATGAAAAGCCCTGCTCCCTTCTAAATATAAGCCAGGCAGAGACTAGGGTTATGATTAGGGTTAGCCAAAAGCAGCCGTTTAGTTTTTCACATTTGGTTTCTGGTCTAATTGAAAGCTTCAGCGTTGTCGTCGGGTACGGGCTAACTATCTAGTCTGAGGCTGCTCTGTCTTCTTTCCCAGGAGGCCGCAGCCACACACACACACACACACACACATACACACAGGCACGTGCACAAACACAGGTACACACTTTCCATTTGGGCTTTTAAGGTGGGGTCTATGCACCATTAATTATCTGATTTTATTAAAAGGGGGAAATGCTGTCTAAAATGTGGTCTCGGTTTACTTTGAAATTATGTGGGATGGAGGGTGGAGGGTGGAGGGTGTAGGAGGGAGGCAATGAAGGGGGAGGGTGGAGGTAGAGGAGGGAGGGGAGGTAGAGTAGAAGAGGTGTGAGGTTGAGGAGGGAGATGGGGAGGGAGGGTGGAGGTGAAGTGAGGAGGGAGGGTGGAGGTCTGGGGGTGTTGAGTTAGCGGAGAGTGCGGTCGGCGGGAGGGTGGCGGTGAGGAGAGTGGAGGTCGGAGATGGCGTTAGAGGAGGTGGAGGTAGCATAGGTAGGGAGGGGAGGTGTGGAGTTTAAGGAGGCGGTAGAGGCGGGCGGGTTGGGTGCGGCGGGTGGGGTAGCGGAGGGGGGTTGAGGTGGAGGGTGGCGGTGAGGCGAGTGGGGTGAGAAGGTGGCGTGAGGCGGGTGGAGTGGCGGTGGGTGGGTTCGCGGTCGGAGGGTGGGGTGAGTGAGGGGGTGGCGGGGGGGTGAGGAGGGTGGGAGGGTGGAGGTCAGACGAGGTGGGGTGATGCGGGTGGGGTCCAGGGGCTAGGGTGGTGTCGGGGTGGAGGTAGCGGAGTGCTAGGGGAAATGGAATCCAGAACTTTTTCCATGTTTGCATGTCAGATCCCCCATAAGGCCGTGCGGTGCCTCAAATCTCTGACAGCCAGAGGGAAGGAAACATGGCTCAAACACTCTGCTCTCTATCACGCTCTGCAACATAACGGGACAATTTGTATCTTGGAGCGCTTTCGCTCTTTATGTGTGTATGTGCACAGAATATCAAATCAAATGTATTTGTCACATGCGCCGAATACAACAGGTGTAGACCTTACAGTGAAACGCTTACTTACATGCCCTTAACCAACAATGCAGTTTTAAGAAAGAATACCAAAGAAATCACACCAAAAAATACAATATAGAAATAATACGAAATAAAAGTAACAAATAATTAAAGAGCAGCAGTAAAAATAACAATAGCGAGGCTATATACAGGGGGAACCGGTACCGAGTCAATGTGTGGTGGCACCGGTGTGGGCGCAGATGTGTATGTGTGTATGTCCTGTGAATGTGTGTATGTCCTGTGAATGTGTGTATGTCCTGTGAATGTGTGTATGCATGAACTATGCAGATGTTCTGTGTTTACAGTATTTTCAGCGCATATGAGACCACTCCAGGGAGATGAACCCTCCTCACACAGGGGGGCATGAGTACACACACACAACAGTATATAACGCAGGTGCAAACAAACACCACACACACACTCCTCTCTCTCTCCTCTCTCTCTCTCCCTCTCTCATCTCCCTCTCTCTCCTCTTTCTCCTCCCCCGCTCTCTCTCTCCTCTCTCTCCCGCCTCTCTCTTCATCTCTCTCTCCTCTCTCCTCATCTCTCTCTCTCTTCTCAGTCCTCTTTCTCCTCTCTCGTCTCAACTCTCCATACTCATCTCCGTCTCTCTCTCATCTTCTCTCTCATCTCTCACCTCTTCCATCCTCTCCTCTCCTCTCTTACTCTCTCCAGTCTCTACCCTCTCTATCTGCTCTCTCCACTCTACTCTCTACGCTCCTTCTCTCTCTCGTTGCTCTACCCCTGTCTCTATCCCTCTTGCAGTAAATCGGGTCCGGAGTATAGAGACGCTGACAACATCTAGAAGAGGCCCGACAAATCTGACAAAAGTCCCTGCTCTGGGGAGAACTGAGACGAGACTAGGGACGACTCGGAAGGAGAAGGAGTAGAGCGAGGGTTTTTAATTTCGAATTTTTTCGCTTTTTTTTTTTTTTTTTTTTTTCCTTTTTTCTCTTTTCCGGGGGTCTTTTGGGGGGCCCCCCCCTCGGGAGGGGGGGCCGGTCCGCGTAATTGGGTGGGCCGGGGGGGGAAGGGTATGGATGTGGCGGGGGAATGGTGGGGTGTTAGGCCGTGAGTTTGAGCTAATGAGAGGGTGTTTTAAGGTTTGCCAAAAGAGACTCCAGGGGACCCTCCCGGTTTTGGTCACCCGGATACGGGTGCAAAACCCAACCCGGGGTTTTTTCCTTCCCCTCCCCCTCCCTTTCCTTCCCCCCTCTTTCCGGGTTTTATTCCTTTTCCCCTCTTCCCCAAAAAACTTTTCAATCCTTCTACCCATACTTTTCTAACTCTCTACCCCAAAAATTAATCCTTCCCCTCTTCCTTATATCCAAAATTTGACCTAAAATTTAAAAATTTCTCCCTATAACTACTACTCTCCTTCCCGTAACGCAAAACCAACCTTTCCCTTTGATTTTACTATAAGGGACCCAATTTATTAAAGGGACTTTAATTTTTTTCAGAATACGAGTAGAAAACAAGGAAAAGGTAGGAACCCGGGGGAAGGAAAAGTTAAAGGGGTTTGGCCCAGGGATTTGGCGTGAGAAAGGGACTCAAGATTTGGGGAAGGCCGGCCAGGTGGAAACCTAGGTAGAAACGCGAAAAGCGGTTAAAAACCCCCAGTCCCCCGGGTTTTTTTTTCGGAGGAAAAAAACCTGGCGCCCCCCCCCCCCTGGACAGTGAAAACCCCAGGTAACTCGGGGAAGAAAGGGCGTAGAGAGAGAGCGGAATTCGAACAGGGAGTCGAGAGAATCCGAGACGGGGCAGCAGAAAGGGAGGAAGAGGGTGGGGGGCGAGTAAGAGATGAGGGAAGCCGGAGGGCGGGGAACGTAAGGGAGGGAGAGAGATGATGGGAGGGAGAGAAGGTCTAGGAGAGGACGTATTTCTGTTTGGCCGTGCACTGCCGATGATACGACGAGGAGGGGGTCTGATGAGAGACCTAGAGTGAACCCCGGACGAAGAAAGTAGGAGAGCTTAGGAAAACGGAAAGATGCGGTGAGACTTGCAGAGAGAGATGACGGACGTTGGTGGGGAGTCGAGGCAGATCGAGGAACCAGAGAGAGGGAGTGAGAGCAGGAGAAGGGAGAGAAGGAGAGAACATAGGAAGAAGAAAGAGAAAGGAGAGAAGTAGAAAAGGAAGGGGTAAGGAGGAAGAGACGAGGGGATGAGCTGAAGTATGAGCAGGCTAGAAAGGAGAGAGGAAGAGAGGAGAAGAGTCGAAGGTGAGGGTGTGAAGAGAAAGGAAAAAGTATAAAAATTGAGGCGGGGAGAAAGAGCAGAAAGGGAGACAAGCAGAGAGGAGCAGGGGAGAGGAGGGAGAAGAGGAAAAGAAGGGAAAGAAACCCAAACCCCTGAGTGGTCTAAGCGGAGAGTATGAAAACAGAAAATCTGTTTTCCCCTTCCTCCCCCTTCTCCTCCCCCACAAAAAAAGGGGAAGAAAAAGGAAAAGGGGAAAAAGGGGGAAAAAAGGGGAAGAAAAAAAAGGGGGACGAAGGGGAAAAAAAAACCCCCCGGGGTCCCCTTGGGGGAGAGAGTGGAGGGAGAGAAAAGGGGAGCGGGAAAGAGAGAGAGAGAGGAGGAGAAAGGAAGAGAGGAGGGGAAAGGGGAAATATAGAGAGGGGGACGAGCAAGAGACAGAGGAGAGAGAGAAGTGTGATAGGAGAGAAGGCGGGGTAGTGACGAAGCTGGAACAATAGGGGGATTGATGGCTCGGGGTGAGGCGAGAGGATGGAGCTAGGAGATGATTAATTGATAAGAGCTTAGATTGGAGTAGTAGTAGAAGAATCGAGACACGCAGGTGGACTAAGAAGAGAGAGAGAAGGATATTTTAAGCTATTAAGATAGGGAGAGAAGAGAGAGAGAGGCGAGAAAGAAGAAAAGGACGACGATAGACAGAGAGAAGGCAAGAGTGAAGGAAGAGAGAGTATGTAGTTTAGAGAAGATAGTTCATATTAAACTCCATCTCCCTGGAGTGGTCTCATACGCGCTGAGAATACTGTAAACACAGAACATCTGTATAGTTCATGCATATACACATTCACAGGACATACGCAGATACACATCTGCACCCACACACACGCCAATATTCTGTGCACATACACACATACCTGGGTTCACACACAGATGAGTCATCATCAGAGGCATGTGTCCAACTCGTGGCTTCTCCTTCCCACGTCAGTAGAGTAGAATAGAGACATAGCAGAACTATGCATGGTGTGAATTAAGACCGGTTGATTAGATCATTATCATCACTGATTTAGAATAGAGTCATTTGAGCTTTTGATGTGAAATGATTTAGACATTTCTGTGATGGCCTAGGCTGTTACTGTAGCAGTTCGAAGCAGAGTACTCCTTCTTATGTCACAGCTCCCTCTGGTGGTGTAAAAAATAAATGACAGTGCACTTTACTTTAATAAATATGGTAGCATAGCATGTGGACTATGTGGACCTATATGTCTCTCTTTGTCCTGTTGCAGGATCCTGGATTTCCGCCGTGTCCCTCCTGTAGCCGGTAGACTATTGAATATGACTAAAGAGATCAAAGACGTCACCAGAGACAAGAAGCTGTGGAGAACCTTCTTCATATCACCAGGTACTGAACCAGACACGCTCCACTCCTCTGTTCTCTGTGTCAGTGTCCTATAGGACAGTAGTCTGAGGTTCAAACACAGCTGTCTTGAGCAATGTAACTGAATGAGTAAAACAAGGGAAGCTTATACAGCTTTATTCACGGCAGGGGAATTTAGAGAAACAAGGTAGCTTTGTTCACGTCAGGGGAATTTAGCGAAACAAGGTAACTTTGTTCACGTCAGGGAAATTTAGCGAAACAAGGTAGCTTTGTTGACGTCAGGGGAATTTATCGAAACATGGTAGCTTTATTCACGTCAGGGGAATTTAGTGAAACAAGATAGCTTTATTCACATCATGGGAATTTGGCTAAACAAGCTAGCTTTCTTTATTCACATCAGGGGGGTTGAGGCCAGGGCTCTGTGCAGGCCAGTCAAGTTCTTCCACACCGATCTCGACAAACCATTTCTGTATGGACCTAGCTTTGTGCACGGGGGCATTGTCATGCTGAAACAGGAAATGGCCTTCCCCAAACTGTTGCCACAAAGTTGGAAGCCCAGAATCGTCTAGAATGTTATTTTATGCTGTAGTGTTAAGATTTCCCTTCACTGGAACTAAGGGGCCTAGCCCGAACCATGAAAAACCAGACCATTATTCCTCCACCAAACCTTACAGTTGACGCTATGCATTGGGGCAGGTAGCGTTCTCCTGGCATCTGCCAAACCCAGATTTGTCCGTCGGACTGCCAGATGGTGAAGCATGATTAATCACTCCAGAGAACACGTTTCCACTGCTCCAGAGTCCAATGGCGGCGAGCTTTACACCACTCCAGCCGATGCGTGGCGTTGCGCATGGTGATCTTAGGCTTGTGTGCGGCTGCTCGACCATGGAAATCAATTTCATGAAGCTCCTGACGAACAGTTCTTGTGCTGACATTGCTTCCAGAGGCAGTTTGGAACTCGATAGTGAGTGTTGCAACCGAGGACAGACGATTTTTATGCGTTACGCGCTTCAGCACTTGGCGGTCACGTTCTGTGAGCTTGTGTGGCCTACCACTTTGCAGCTGAGCTGTTGTTGCTCCTAGACGTTTTCACTTCACAATAACAGCACTTATAGTTGACCAGGGCAGCTCTAGCAGGGCATACATTTGACTAACTGACTTATTGGAAAGGTGGCATCTTATGATGGTGCCATGTTGAAAGTCTCTGAGCTCTTCAGTAAGGCCATTCTACTGACAATGTTTGTCTATGGAGATTGCATGGCTGTGAGCTTGATTTTATACACCTGTCAGCAACGGGTGTGGCTGAAATTACCGAATCCACTCAAAATAATGGGTGTAGTGTAGCTTTGTTCATGTCAGGGGAATTTAGCGAACAAGGTTGCTGTATTCACGTGAGGGGAACAAAGCAGGGGTGAAATTTATGTGCAACTCCTTACGATATGATATGTGGCTCTTTTCACGCAAGGGGCGCTGAGCAGGAGTTAACAACTTCGGTGAAACGCCACATGATAATTGCATTTCCATTTTCGCTTTAGTGTGTTGCACTTGCATTCAGTACCCACTGGGCACAGACGTCAATTCAACGTCTATTCCATGTTGGTTCAATGTAATTTCATTGAAATTACGTGGAACCAACATTGTGCAACCAACTTTCTGTTTCCAGTGGGTAGCGTCTATGAATTACATAATTATGCATAGTATTGGCGTCAAACGAAAGAACCAAGGACACAGTTGGTTCCTGATGTAGTGAGGTATTTACAGAATAACTGGTGCTGTGAGATTAGGATATCAGGATTCAAGGATGCTGTGAGATTAGGGTATCAGGATTCAAGGATGCTGTGAGATTAGGATATCAGGATTCAAGGATGCTGTGAGATTAGGATATCAGGATTCAAGGATGCTGTGAGATTAGGGTATCAGGATTCAAGAATGCTGTGAGATTAGGGTATCAGGATTCAAGGATGCTGTGAGATTAGGGTATCAGGATTCAAGGATGCTGTGAGATCAGGATTCAATGATGCTGTGAGATTAGGATATCAGGATTCAAGGATGCTGTGAGATTAGGATATCAGGATTGTGATTTATTAGTTATCAGGATTCAGGATGCGTGGAGAATCAGGTAGGTGCTGTGGATTATATCAGGATTCAGATGTGCTTGTAAGGTATCAGAGATTAGAAGGTGCTGGAATTATTAATTGAGCTGGATTAGATTCAGGATTCAAGGATGCTGTGAGATTAGGATACAGGATTATGCTGTGAGAGGATTCAGAAGGATGCTGTGGGATTAAGGTTTCAGGATTCAAGGATGCTGTGAGATTAGGGTATCAGGATTCAAGGATGCTGTGAGATTAGGATATCAGGATTCAAGGATGCTGTGAGATTAGGATATCAGGACCTATTTAGGCAAAGTAATTGTAACAGTAGAGCAAATGAGGCAATATTTGGTCAAATGAAATGAAATGATTGGCTGCAGTGTTTCCGTTATAATGAGGACATGATGCTTGGAATGCTAAGGCATAAATGTATGAAAGTGTGTATTATTATTTTAAATGTATGTAGTTCTGTCCTTGAGCTGTTCTTGTCTATTAACGTTCTGTATTATGTTTTGTGTGGACCCCAGGAAGAGTAGCTGCTGCTTTAGCAGTAGCTAATGGGGATCCTAATAAAATACAAAACATTATAAAAATACAAAATACAGTATGATCATATCAACTGTGTTTAAGTTTAAGTACTGTAGATGGTGCTATTGGTCACCAAATTGTCAAATCAATATCACCAACTAAGCCATTCATATCAACTCTGTCATTTCTCAGCCAACAACATCTGTTTCTACGGGGAGTGTTCGTACTACTGCTCTACGGAGCATGCTCTGTGCGGTAAGCCAGACCAGATCGAGGGTTCCCTGGCTGCCTTCCTCCCAGACCTTACCCTGGCCAAACGCAAGACCTGGAGAAACCCCTGGAGACGATCCTACAACAAACGCAAGAAAGCAGAGTAAGACACCAATACAAGGATGACATATTATAACAAAAAATAGAGTGGTGCATTTATATACAGGCTTATACATCCATGTAGAGTTTGAAGAGTTGAAGATGTTGAACAGTTTGATTTTAAGGTTGTTCACTCGATAGGTGTATTTACATACTGAATATAGGTTATTAAGGTGCTGATGAGTACTCTGCTGTGTGTGTGTGTGTGTGTGTGTGTGTGTGTGTGTGTGTGTGTGTGTGTGTGTGTGTGTGTGTGTGTGTGTGTGTAGGTGGGAGGTGGACCCTGACTACTGTGAAGAGGTAAAACAGACCCCGCCCTACAACAACGGCACCCGTCTACTGGACATCATGGACATGACCATCTTTGACTTCCTCATGGGTGAGACGACACCTCCTAATACATACAGACATCAGTCGAGGCTATTTGAAATGTAGCTATGTAGCCTCTGTTTTCGTCACGCTAGCTGATACGTATGTGTGTTTGTAGCAGTGGAGGCTCCTCGGGGGAGGAAGGGGAGGACCATCCTCCTTAGTGAATTTCAGAAAAATAAAAAGGGTAAAACATTAAAAAAAGTTATCCTTTTTAGATAAAACTATACTAAATATATTCACGTCACCAAATAATTGATTAAAACATACTATTTTGCAATGGAGGTCTACAGTAGCCTCAACAGTACTCTGTAGGGTATCACCATGGTGTAGCCGGAGGACAGCTAGCTTCCGTCCTCCTCTGGGTACATTGACTTCAATAAAAAACCTAGGAGGCTCATGGTTCTCACCCCCTTCCATAGACTTACACAGTAATTATGACAGCCTCCAGAGGACGTCCTCCAACCTATCAGAGCTCTTGCAGCATGAACTGACATGTTGTCCACCCAATCAAAGGATCAGAGAATCAATCTAGTACTGAAAGCATAAGCTACAGCTAGCTAGCACTGCAGTGCATAAAATGTGGTGAGTAGTTGACTCAAAGAGCGAGAAAGACAATAGTTGAACAGTTTTGAACAAATTAATTTCTTCCAAAATGAAGGAGAAACAAGAGAGAGCGTTATAGAGATTTCATCATCATCATTTTTTTTTTTTACTTTCAGTTTCACTTACTTAGCTAGCAAATGCAGCTAGCTAGTGTAGTCTACTCAAACACCCTTCTCAAACAGAGGGATGCTATGTTAGCTAGCTGGCTATGACTATCCAACACAACACTGGAACTCTTCCAAGTCAAGGTAAGCTTTTGGTTTTACTCATTTATTGCCACAGGGGGCTGCCAGTGTAAGTGCTAAACTGCTTACTGACTGTACACTGTAATGGTACTGCATGATTGTAGCGGGTTTACTAACGTGTTATTATAGCTATGTTGACTATGACGTTACTTTAGCTAATATGGTGACAACGATGTAAGCTGTCTGTAGCGGTTATGATATGGTTTGGCTTGGAAAGCTGATGTGTTGTGCATTGAAGTCCATAAGCGAAGGGTCAAGGTGAGAGGAGGATAGCGCATAGATGCGAGAAGGAATACAACATGGCTGCTATGAAAGTGAACTGTGTTTACGTTTGATCAGGGGTGTATTCATTCTGCCGATTCTGTTGAAAAACGTTTCTTAAACAGAATCAAACAAAACTAAACAGAGATAAACATACCTGAATCTACCCACATGTACATATTACCTCAATTACCTTGACTAGCCGGTGCCCCCGCACATTGACTCTGCACGGTACCCCCCTGTATATAGCCTCCCTACTGTTATTTTATTTTACTGCTGCTCTTTAGTTATTTGCTTTTATTTTTTTACTTAACACTTTTATTTATTTTTACCAAAAAAAATGCATTGTTGGTTAAGGGCTTGTAAGTAAGCATTTCACTGTAATGTCTACACCTGTTGTATTCGGCGCATGTGGCAAATACATTTGGATTTGATTTGATTTGATTTGATTTGAAACTCTCGTTTGCAACTGTTGGACTAATGATTACACCCTAGATTAGCTAGATGCAGGCAAGAGTGGTATTGAATGTGTCACTGTCTATCACCTAAACATTTTCTCTCGACCTGTGCACCTACGTTGTAAACTTTCATTCATAGGTTAGGTTGTAGTAACCTCATGATGGGTATAGGGAAAATGTTGGTATCATGTAGTAGCCTAAACCCATCACTGTTACATTGAACTGGGTGAATGGAATATGAATGACAGTCATCCAATATGCTGTAATAGAAATAAGGCCATGCTCATGAAAAAACAATGGTCCTCCCTCATCTTAAACGGCACTGACCGCCACTGACACACACACACACACACACACACACACACACACACACACACACACACACACACACACACACACACACACACACTGTAGGGGAGAGTGGGGTAAGGTGAACCATTCAGCATCACTCCATTCAGCATCAGCATCACTCCATCAAGGGAGATATATATACTACAGTTTTTTACAATCACTTTGGCACTAATTTCAGAACCTTGACGTCATTTTTCAAAACTCTAGACACAAAACTCAAAACGGTCATCACTTGTAACACAGGCTGTCCAATGTTCAAAACATTGCATTGTGCATTCATATCTTTAAATAAATCTTGCACTTGCACAATCATTGGTTAAAAAAACAAATGTATTGTGAAAACCAATGAAACGTTAATTTAGATCACCCACACACAAGCAACCGATAGTTCCACTGTGTCATTGTTCGTACGATCATTAAATATTGTAGTACAAAATAGGTGATACATGTTTCATTATGGTACTACATGTAAATACATCCCTGTAAAAGTACTGCAGTAGTAGAGAGAATACTATAGACACAGTGGAATCATTGAACAAAATCTGAAATATATTGATGAAAAACAATACAGTACTGTAAAACATCAAATGCAGTGTTCCTCAACTTGCTTGCTTGTACTGTAAAAAGCAAAACATAGGAGTGATTACTGTACTTCTACATTTTCATCAACTCTGTCTTGTGGATTTGGCCACAGGTTCTCATCTACATCACAATGGATGTTTTCATTAGCCAAACATCTTGGAAAAAACCTTCGGCCATGGCGAATCCAGGCCTGACACTGGTCTGCCGTGATGTCATTGCATGCATCATCCATGGCCTGGAGAAGAGTGACTTGTTCATGAGGGCGCCTATCATAAACCTTCCATCTCCATGTGGAGAAAAATTCCTCAATCGGGTTAAGGAAAGGAGAGTATGGGGGTAAATACAGGGTGGTAAATTGTGCATGGGCCTGAAACCATGCTTTCACCATATGAGCATGGTGGAACCTGACATTATCCCATACAATGACATAGGTCACGCCATCAGCTCTACAGACCTGATCGAGCTCATCAAGGAAGTTTACAAGGGGACCATAGAAACGGTGTCTGATAAAGAATGATGATGAAATATTACATCCATAGATAATGTAGTCTAATTGGTTCATGCTCCACGCTAATTGGTGGCAATGAATCTCGTTATCTTGAAACTTTCATGATCTAAACATGGAATATTGTTTGTCTGTTTCCATACAACTATGCATTAAGAGCAATGCAACAGTTACTTATCATTTTGAGCAGTTGTATCAATTGATAGTTGGATAATTGTAATGAAATGAATAGACACTCATCTGAAATGTAATGTGTGAATTGCCTTTTGAAATAGTAGTACTTTGATGTTAAGTTGTGTCATATTGAACAGGTGATTATTGTTAAATAAACAAATTATTTTAGTTTTATGTGTATTGTATCCAAGCAATTGAAAAAAGTGTTAGAGTTTTGAAAAATGTGCATTTTGATCATTGGTTGAGTTTTGTGTCTAGAGTTTTGAAAAATGACGTCAAGGTTCTGAAATTAGTGCCAAAGTGATTGTAAAAAACTGTAAACAAAAATATAAACGCAACATGCAACAATTTAAATGATTTTACTGAGTTACAATTGAGAATTGAGAATCTGTGGTATGACTTAAAGATTGCTGTACACCAGCGGAGCCCATCCAACTTGAAGGAGCTGGAGCAGTTTTGCCTTGAAGAATGGGCAAATATCCCAGTGGCTAGATGTGCCAAGCTTATACAGACATACCCCAAGAGACTTGCAGCTGTAATTGCTGCAAAAGGTGGCTCTACAAAGTATTGACTTTGGGGGGGTGAATAGTTATGCACGCTCAAGTGTTCTGTTTTTTTGTCTTATTTCTTGTTTGTTTCACAAGAAAAAATATTTTGCATCTTCAAAGCGGTAGGCATGTTGTGTAAATCAAATGATACAACCCCCCCCAAAATCCATTTGAATTCCAGGTTGTAAGGCAACAAAATAGGAAAAATGCCAAGGGGGGTGAATACTTTTGCAAGCCACTGTATATGTACAGTTGAAGTCGGAAGTGTACATACGCCTTAGCCAAATACATTTAAACAAGGTCCCCTGTAGCTCATTTAAATGATTTTACTGAGTTACAGTTCATATAAGGAAATCAGTCAATTGAAATACATTCATTAGGCCCTAATCTATGGATTTCACATGACTGGGCAGGGGCGCAGCAATGGGTGGGCCTGGGAGGGCATAGGCCCACCCACAGCCAATCAGAATGAGCTTTTCTTCACAAAGGGCTTTATTACAGACAGAAATACTCCTCAGTTGAATCAGCTGTCCGGGTGGCGGTGATCCCGTAGGTGAAGAAGACGGATGTGGAGGTCCTGGGCTGGTGTGGTTATACGTGGTCTGCGGAAATGATTAAAAGACAAAAAAAAGTGGTGATTGTGTTGAATTGTGTCTGGGAAATAAAGATAAGACATGGTTTTAAAAAGGTAGTGGTAATATTTCATTCAGTACAGAAATGTGTTGGAGGCTTAACTTACGCTGTCCCGCGGCTCAACTTACTATAAAACGACGTTGGAGGTGGCTTATGGTAGAGAAATGAATATTCAATTCTCTGGCAACAGATCTAGTGGACATTCCTGGAATCAGCATTCCAATTGCACGCTCCCTCATAACATGAGACATCTGTGGAATTGTGTTGTGTGACAAAACTTCCCATTTTAGAGAGGCCTTTTATTGTCCTCAGCACAAGGTGCACCTGTGTAATGATCATGCTGTTTAATCAGTTTCTTGATATGCCAAAATTCATGTAAAGTGTAATGTTTACATGAATTCTGATTATTCCCAGGGATATACAACATCCTGAAATACAATGCCTTGCAAAAGTATTCAGCCCCCTTTGCGAATGTCCTATTTTGTTACATTACAACCTGTAATTTAAATTGATTTTTATGTGGATGTCATGTAATGGACATAAACAAAATCGTCCAAATTGGTGAAGTGAAATGAAAGAAATAACTTGTTTAAAAAAAAATAGATAACGGAAAAGTGTTGTGTGCATATGGATTCACCCCCTTTGCTATGAAGCCCTTAAACAAGATCTGGTGCAACCAATTACCTTCAGAAGTCACATAATTAGTTAAATAAAGTCCACCTGTGTGCAATCTAAGTGTCACATGATCTGTCACATGATCTCAGTATATATACACCTGTTCTGAAAGGCCTCAGAGTATGCAACACCACTAAGCAAGGGCCATCACCAAGCAAGCGGCACCATGAAGACCAAGGAGCTCTCCAAACAGGTAAGGGACAAAGTTGTGGAGAAGTACAGATCAGGGTTGGGTTATAAAAAAATATCAGAAACTTTGAACATCCCACGGAGCACCATTACATCCATTATAAAAAAATTGAAAGAATATGGCACCACAACAAACAAAGAGAGGGCCGCCCACCAAAACTCACGGCCCAGGCAAGGAGGGCATTAATCAGAGAGGCAACAAAGAGACCAAAGATAACCCTGAAGGAGCTGCAAAGCTCCACAGCGGAGATTGGAGTATCTGTCCATAGGACCACTTTAAGCCATACACTCCACAGAGCTGGGCTTTACGGAAGAGTGGCCAGAAAAAAGCCATTGCTTAAAGAGGAAAATAAGCAAACACGTTTGGTGTTCGCCAAAAGGCATGTGGGAGACTCCCCAAACATATGGAAGAAGGTACTCTGGTCAGATGAGACTCAAATTGAGCTTTTTGGCCATCAAGGAAAACGCTATGTCTGGCGCAAACCCAACACCTCTCATCACCCCGAGAACACCATCCCCACAATGAAGCATGGTGGTGGCAGCATCATGCTGTGGGGATGTTTTTCCATCGGCAGGGACTGGGAAACTGGTCAGAATTGAAGGAATGATGGATGGCGCTAAATACAGGGAAATTCCTGAGGGAAACCTGTTTCAGTCTTCCAGAGATTTGAGACTGGAACGGAGGTTCACCTTCCAGCAGGACAGTGACCCTAAGCATACTGCTAAAGCAACACTCGAGTGGTTTAGGGGGAAACATTTAAATGTCTTGGAATGGCCTAGTCAAAGCTCAGACCTCAATCCAATTGAGAATCTGTTGTATAACTTAAAGATTGCTGTACACCAGCGGAGCCTATCCAACTTGAAGGAGCTGGAGCAGTTTTGCCTTGAAGAATGGGCAAAGATCCCAGTGGCTAGATGTGCCAAGCTTATACAGACATACCCCAAAAGACTTGCAGCTGTAATTGCTGCAAAAGGTGGCTCTACAAAGTATTGACTTTGGGGGGGTGAATAGTTATGCACGCTCAAGTGTTCTGTTTTTTTGTCTTATTTCTTGTTTGTTTCACAAGAAAAAATATTTTGCATCTTCAAAGTGGTAGGCATGTTGTGTAAATCAAATGATACAAACCCCCAAAAAATCAATTTGAATTCCAGGTTGTAAGGCAACAAAATAGGAAAAATGCCAAGGGGGGTGAATACTTTTGCAAGCCACTGTATATGTACAGTTGAAGTCGGAAGTGTACATACGCCTTAGCCAAATACAGTTAAACAAGGTCCCCTGTAGCTCAGTTGGTAGAGCATGGCGCCTGCAACGCCAGGGTTGTGGGTTCGTTTCCCACGGGGGGCCAGTATGAAAAATGTATGCACTCACTAACTGTATTGTCTGCTAAAATGTAAACTCAGTTTTTCACAATTTCTGACATTTAATCCTAGTAAAAATTCCCTGTATAGGTCAGTTAGGATCACCACTTTATTTTAAGAATGTGAAATGTCAGAATAATAGTAGAGAGAATGATTTATTTCAGCTTTTATTTCTTTCATCACATTCCCAGTGGGTCAGATTTTTACGGACACTCAATTAGTATTTGGTAGCATTGCCTTTAAATTGTTAACTTGGGTCAAACGTTTCGGGTAGCCTTCCACAAGCTTCCCACAATAAGTTGGGTGAATTTTGGCCCATTCCTCCTGACAGAGCTTGAGGTCAGGGCTTTGTGATGGCCACTCCAATACCTTGACTTTGTTGTCCTTAAGCCATTTTGCCACAACTTTGGAAGTATGCTTGGGGTCATTGTCCATTTGGAAGACCCATTTGCAACCAAGCTTTAACTTCCTGACTGATGTCTTGAGATGTTGCTTCAATATAGCCACATAATTTTCCTTCCTCATGATGCTATCTATTTTGTGAAGTGCACCAGTCCCTCCTGCAGCAAAGCACCCCCGCAGCATGATGCTGCCACCCACGTGCTTCACGGTTGGGATGGTGTTCTTCGGCTTGCAAGCAGCTCCCTTTTCCCTCCAAACATAACGATGGTCATTATGGCCAAACAGTTCTATTTTTGTTTCATCAGGCCAGAGGACATTTCTCCAAAAAGTACGATCTTTGTCCCCATGTGCAGTTGCAAACCGTAGTCTGGCTTTTTTATGGTGGTTTTGGAGCAGTGGCTTCTTCCTTGCTGAGCGGCCTTTCAGGTTATGTCGAAATAGGACTTGTTTTACTGTGGATATAGATAATTTTGTACCTGTTTCCTCCAGCATCTTCACAAGGTCCTTTGCTGCTGTTCTGGGATTGATTTGCACTTTTCGCACCAAAGTACGTTCATCTCTAGGAGACAGAACGCGTCTCCTTCCTGAGCGGTATGACGGCTGCGTGGTCCCATGGTGTTTATACTTGCGTACTATTGTTTGTACAGATGAACGTGGTACCTTCAGGCATTTGGAAATTGCTCCCAAGGATGAACCAGATTTGTGGAGGTCTATAATTGTTTTTCTGAGGTCTTGGCTGATTTCTTTAGATTTTCCCATGATGTCAAGCAAAGAGGCACTGAGTTTGAAGGTAGGCCTTGAAATACATCCACAGGTACACCTCCAATTGACTCAAATGATGTAAATTAGCCTATCAGAAGCTTCTAAAGCCATGACATCATTTTCTGGAATTTTCTAAGCTGTTTAAAGCACAGTCAACTTCTGACCCACTGGAATTGTGATACAGTGAATTATAAGTGAAATAATCTGTCTGTAAACAATTGTTGGACAAATTACTTGTGTCATGCACAAAGTAGATGTCCTAACCGACTTGCCAAAACTATCGGTTGTTTACAAGAAATGTGTGGAGTGGTTGAAAAACAAGTTTTAATGACTCCAACCTAAGTGTATGTAAACTTCCGACTTCAACTGTAGATATCTTTGTTAGAAAGAATACTATACTGAACAGAAATATAAACGCAACATGTGAAGTGTTGGTCCCGTGTTTCATGAGCTGAAATAAAAGATCCCAGAAATGTTCCATACGCAACAAAAGCATATTTCTGTCAAATTTTGTGCACAAATTTGTTTACATCCCTATTAGTGAGCATTTCTATTTTGCCAATATTATCCATCCACCTGACAGGGTAAGTAAAGCCTCCAACACATTTTTGTACTGAATTAAATATTACCACTACCTTTTTAAAACCATGTCTTATCTTTATTTCCTAGACAAAATTCAACACAATCACCATCACTTTTTTGTCTTTTAATCATAATAAGCATATTTTAACACAGGCTTAACACCTAACACTTTGTACTTTTTAAAACACCTTTAACATAAGCCAGGCCCTGTTGTTACCTCATATCCCAGCGATAAGGTCTTGCATTACACCTGAGAAGAAAACACTTCAATATGCTCAACTTGTCATCAGTCAATCATTTAAAATTTTGTCACAAAGTGGAACTCTTATAATCTCCACCCGGCACAGCCAGAAAAGGACTGGCCACCCCTCAGAGCCTGGTTCCTCTCTAGGTTTCTTCCTAGGTTCCTGCCTTTCTATGGAGTTTTTCCTCGCCACCGTGCTTCTACATCTGCATTGCTTGCTCTTTGGGGTTTTAGGCTCAGTTTCTGTTTAAGCACTTTGTGACATCTGCTGATGTAAAAAGGGCTTTATAAAATACATTTGATTGATTGATTGATTGAAGTGCTTATACAAAAACTGCTCTTTAAATATTTTTGATATGTTCGTCAAAAGTGAAATCAGGGTCAAGAGAAACGCAGAGGTCCTTCACAGTTTTATTTGATACGACTGTACAACCATTGACATTCATTGTCAGATCCGACAGCAGATCTCTTTGTTTCTTGGGACCTAGAACTAGCATCTCTGTTTTGTCCAAGTTTAAAAGTAAAACATTTGCTTTCCACTTCCTTATGTCTGAAACACAGGCTTCCAGGGTAGGCAATTTTGGGGCTTCACCATGTTTCAACGAAATGTACTGCTGTGTGTCATCTTCATAACTGTGAAAGTTGACAGTATGTTTCCGAATGACATCACCAAGAGGTAGCATATTTAGTGAAAACAATAGTGGTCCTAGAACGGAACCTTGAGGAACACCGAAACTTAACATTGATTTGTCAGAGGACAAACCATCCACAGAGACAAACTGATATCTTTCCAACAGAAAACATCTAAACAAGGCAAGAACTTGTCCGCATAGACCAATTAGGGTTTCCAATCACAAAGCACTATATTAGCCCACACACAGCTACAAAGATGCACTTTCATGCTAGGTTTGGGACCTCATATTGAAGCTTATAGAGACCCCAACTGATATATAGAACAACCTTACAATTATCTACTTTGGTTTAGATACAAGCATCATGAAACCTCTAACACAATAAATTCATTTGACTTGGTGAAAATCTGTTTTTTTGGACCTAACTTGCTTACCACTTTTTCTATGTGGCTTCTTGGTTCACAGACTCCATGAAATGATGACCTCTTCATAAATATGTGGTCAAATTATTAATTTTGTGTATGGTTTCCTAGAAACAAGGGTGGCTCAACTTACCCCTTTGGCTGAACTTACCACACTCTCCCCTACAACTTCAACATGGCTCCCTTTCTAAAATGACATCTCTCCTTAGGCAACATGGATCGTCATCACTACGAGACGTTTGAGAAGTTTGGCAACGAGAGCTTCATCATCCATCTCGACAATGGGAGAGGGTTTGGAAAGCATTCCCATGATGAGGTGTCTATTCTGGTGCCTTTAAGCCAATGTTGCAGGTTAGCGACTTTTTTAATATTTTCCATCAACTGACATGTTTGATGTATCAAACATGTCAGTTGATGCAGACATCAAGAGCATTTACTTGGACAAAAGGGCTTACCAATTAAACGTGTCCAAAAGGACTAATTAGAGGCAGAAAGAAGTTGGAGCTCTGACCGAAATGTCAGACACCTGAATTCATCCTGAACAATGAGAAATAAGAAATGAATCTCTGCCTTTTTTGTTGAGTGCTCCAAATCCTTTCTACCTCGAATTAGTCCTTTTGGAAGTTTTTCTTGGTAAGCCCTTTTGTTGGATTTTTGTCATAGTTGTCGAGCACCCCTCCTACTTTTCTTTGTTTGTTGTAGAGCAGAGGCTCTTAGCATTTACTTGAATTAGGACTGGTGAACTGCAATGCACTTAACCTGAGTTTTCACTTATGAGAAGTTTATGACTATATGAAGTCGTAATCTAACAACATTAATAAACTTCCTCCATTCCCTCCTGTCCCTCCAGAGTGAAGAAGTCGACCCACCTGCGTCTGCAGCTGCTGGCTAAGGAGGAGTACCTGCTGAGTGGTCTGATGTCCGAGTCTCTGCTGAGGGACAAACTGACCCCCATCCTCATCCAGCCCCACCTGAAGGCTATGGACAGACGACTACGCTACACACTCAACATCCTGGCAGACTGCATCGAGAAGGAGGGCTATAGTAATGTTGTGGAGGATGACCTGGCGGGGGAGAGGGAGGGGGGGCACACATCACCCAGGGGAAGGTAGCTGGGAGGCCTGGACCGTTCTGGAATAGACTGGATTGGACCGGATTGAACTGGCCGGAACTAGAGTGGATCGGACTGAACTGGATTGAACCAATGTGAACCGCCATCACCATAGGCCCCTTAAATAATTTAGTGTACACTACCCAACCAACCTATCGATCGATGGATTGCCCACCAAAGCGCTACAGACCATGAAAGTCTTGTGAGAGACGCTTGTCTTGTTCAGAAGACGTTTTTGAATTCAGTGAATTCCAAGGCTGGTATTATTCCTTCTGTCATCACCTGAATCATGTGTGTTTCTACGCGTTGTTGGGACCTGTTACGGGCCTGTAAACAACGTGCATATTGGAGGAGATCAACTCTGTGTCTTAATGAACAAAAAAAAAAAATGTATTAATTCTGTTGCTCTTTTATGTTGTTGTCGATGTGTTGTTTACGTTGTTGTCGATGTGTTTTTTTTATATATATATTTGATTGGAGTGCCGGTTTACTGCAAATGGTGTCTTCATCTGCTTTTCATCTTTCAAATCCTGTTCCAATAGTATTTATTAGTTACCACAGCCACAAAGTGGTCACAGAGTTCAGAGTAACACTAGTGTGTCTACAAATTACAAAATGTCCTTTGTCAATAAATGTAACCTTTTTGTTCGGAATATCATAGTGCACTCAGTGTTAGTGGAAAGGCATCTGAATCCCTTGTGGATTCTGTTTGAACTGTGTCAAAACCAAACCAGTCCAACTTAGGCTCTTTTGGCTTTTCAAGAACTACACCAGTCCAGAGCTGTAATTCACAGACCCATTAATCATTGGTGGGACTAAATCAAATGAAAATGTATGTTCAAAATCTATGTTTATATTACAACATTTACTCAGATTCAAAGTGATTCCCACTACAGCATATCCTCCTTTGTACTTTTATTTTTCTTCTGCTCGTAGATCATTTTATTGATTTGAAGTTAAGATCAAAAAGTAGTCCTCTATTATGGTACTATGAAGCTAAATGTGACACCAAAGTTTTGTATGATTATTGTTCCTTTAGGGTGTGATGTATTTCTGATGTCCAGATGGCAATGTGGTCCACAGATATTCAGGATGTACATTTCTTAACTTCCCAACCTCAGATCTGCTTTGCTGGAGAAAACAATTAAGTTATTGCTACTGAAAGTCAATATATACAAGAGATCAGTGGAGGCTGGTGGGAAGAGCTATAGGAGGATGGGCTCATTGTAATGGCTGGAATGGAATGAATTTAACGGTATCAAACACATTAAATGTATGGAACCCACATTATTGACTCCGTTCCATCTATCCACTGGGCTCTCGAGTGGCGCAGTGGTCTAAGGCACTGCATCTCAGTGCTTGAGGCGTCACTACAGACCCACTGGTTCAATTCCAGGCTGTATCACAACCGGCCGTGATTGGGAGTCCCATAGGGCGGCGCACAATTGGCCCAGCGTCGTCCGGGTTTGGCCAGTGTAGGCCGTCATTGTAAATAAGAATTTGTTCTTAACTGACTTGCCTAGTTAAAAAAAGAAACATTAAATTCTGTTTTCAGTCATTACAATGAGCCCGTCCTCCTATAACTCCTCCCACCACCCTCCACTGCAGTAGATACAGTAGAGGAAAAAAGTATTTAGTCAGCCACCAATTGTGCAAGTTCTCCCACTTAAAAATATGAGAGAGGCCTGTAATTTTCATCATAGGTACACGTCAACTATGACAGACAAAATGAGAAACTTTTGTTATTGACCAAATACTTATTTTCCACCATAATTTGCAAATAAATTCATAAAAAATCCTACAATGTGATTTTCTGGATTTTTTTCTTCTCATTTTGTCTGTCATAGTTGACGTGTACCTATGATGAAAATTACAGGCCTCTCTCATCTTTTTAAGTGGGAGAACTTGCACAATTGGTGGCTGACTAAATACTTTTTTCCCCACTGTAAACCTAGTGCCTGTGCAATGATAGAAATACTTGAATGTTTGGGATCATGACTGAGAGAGTAATTACAGGAAAATATTAATTCCTGATCAGAAGCTATGTACACACAATACCCCATAATGACAAAGCAAAAACAGGTTTTTAGAAATATCACATTTACATAAGTATTCAGACCCTTTACTCAGTACTTTGTTGAAGCACCTTTGGCAGCGATTACAGCCTCGAGTCTTCTTGGGTATGACGCTACAAGCTTGGCACACCTGTATTTGGGGAGTTTCTCCCATTCTTCTCTGTAGATCCTCTAAAGCTCTGTCAGGTTGGATGGGGAGCGTCGCTGCATAGCTATTTTCAGATGTTCGATTGGGTTCAAGTCCGGGCTCTGGCTGGGCCACTCAAGGACATTCAGAGACTTGTCCCGAAGCTACTCCTGCGTTGTTTTGGCTGTGCTTAGGGTCATTGTCCTGTTGGAAGGTGAACCTTCACCCCAGTCTGAGGTCCTGAGCACTCAAGGATCTCTCTGTACTTTACTCCGTTCATCTTTCCCTCAATCCTGACTAGTCTCCCAGTCCCTGCTGCTGAAAAACATCCCCACAGCATGATGCTGCCACCACCATGCTTCACCATAGGGATGGTGCCAGGTCTCCTCCAGAGTTCAATCTTGGTTTCATCAGGCCAGAGAATCTTGTTTCTCATGGTCTGAGTCCTTTAGGTGTCTTTTGGCAAACACCAAGCGGGCTGTCATATGCCTTTTACTGAGGAGTGGCTTCCGTCTGGCCACTCTACCATAAAGGCCTGATTGGTGGAGTGCTGCAGAGATGGTTGTCCTTCTGGAAGGTTCTCCCATCTCCACAGAGGAACTCTGGAGCTCTGTCAGAGTGACCATTGGGTTCTTGGTCACCTACCTGACCAAGGCCCTTCTCCCCCGATTGCTCAGTTTGGCCGGGCGGCCAGCTCCTAGGAGGAGTCTTGGTGGTTCCAAACTTCTTCCATTTAATAATGATGGAGGCCAAAGTGTTCTTGGGTACCTTCAATACTGCAGAAATGTTTTTGGTAGCCTTCCCCAGATCTGTGCCTCGACACAATCCTGTCTCGGAGCTCTACGGACAATTCCTTCGACCTCATGGCTTGGTTTTTGCTCTGACATGCACTGTCAACTGTGGGACCTTTCCAAATCATGTCCACATGTGGACTCCAATCAAGTTGTAGAAACATCTCAAGGATGATCATTGGAAACAGGAAGCACCTGAGCTCAATTTTGAGTCTCATAGCAAAGGGTCTGAATACTTATGTAAATAAGGTATTTCTGTCTTTTATTTTCCATAAATTTGCAGAATTTCTAAAAACCTGTTTTCGCTTAGTCTTTATAGGGTATTGTGTGCAGATTGCTGAGGATTTTTTTGTATTTAATCCGTTTTAGAATAAGGCTGTAATGTAACAAAATGTGGAAAAAGTCAAGGGGTCTGAATACTTTCCGAATGCACAGTACTGTAGGTGGGGAGGTCTGTGCATATACTCCATCCATCCCATCCTGTTTCTATCTGTGTTTCCATAGGTCTGTCTGGTTGATATAGTATGTATGGACGGAGGACATTAGAGGCTGTGGTTCAGTTCATTGTTTCTGTGGAGGTTTGTAAAGGTGCAATAAAACAAGGTGTGCATTTAAACGTGTCATTAAACATTATCAGTTATTTCTCGAAGATAGAAAAATAGATAAAATAATGATTGAGACGGGGCAAAAAAACTCTGACTTGATTCTGATCCTTGTAGGCAGCACAGACACAGTCGAGTCACAGAAACTAATATCTAATATCTCAATGATATGTGTCCATACGTTCAGAGTACAGTGCCTGATCTGTAGCTTAATAGATGCAATCAAGTGAATTGAATACATTTATGTACAGTGATGAAGTCTACTACAGTACTAATGCAAATGGCCCTTAGCGCCCCAACATAAACATGGTTACAGTTAACAGTCTTTTTGTTTTGATAACTTTTCCCTAGCCCTTCACAGCCCCCGGAAAAGCCTCCGCTAGGGTTTATAAATGCATCCATAGGACTGAATGGAGGAAGCCCAGTCTGAGTCTCTATTCCCTATATTGTGCACTACTTTTGACCAGAACCCTATGGGCCCTAGTCAAAAGTAGTGCACTGTGAAGGTAATAGAGTGCTATTTGGGATGCAGTCTGAGACAAACATCTAATGGAGAGGGACCACAGGCCCAACTAGGGTAATCAGCCTGGCCGCAGACAGAAAGCAGAGGAAACATCGTCATGGGAATAAACCAGGGATCCGACCGACGGGATGCCTTATCTGATCCTGAGCCCACCCTCTTTTCTCTGCACTGCTCCGATGGAGGGACCATAGAATAGAATGGACATAATTCTGGAATCTGGTTGTAGTTCTAATTCTATGATAGAGTGACTCTCCTTGTTTGACCTTGTGGGTAGTCCACCAAGCCCTGGATTTGCTCCAGAAGACGGTGGTCAGTTGATTTCACTGCATAAAGAAAGGTAACTACTGTACTGGCATGTTTAGAATAGATAATGTGTTATTGCAATTAGAATAACTGGCTAGTCACTTTATTTGCTAAATAATGTTGAGGGAGACGAACCAAAGGTAACAAAGGTCGCTTACATACAGAGAGGATACAGCATAGCTCTAAATGTGAAGAGAATATACTGTAGTTGATCAAGAGGTGGACACCTGATTATAGAGTTGATATAATCCACATTTGCTGGTATAGGCCTACCTGTGCATTTTCCAAATGAATAAAACGTTCAAGTAAGTAATGGCTTTAAAAATGTGCCCAATTACATGATCTGAGAATATGACTATTTTTATTTGATTTTATTTGGACATGGACATCTGAAATGTTCAATCTTGTTTGCCACTTTAAAATTGACCTGGGTGTTGACACTTTGTTGCCCCATTAGTATAGAATGAGTAAACACCGAATTGCATTTTAAAACGGTTCTGGTCGCATCGATATAATCACACAAAGTGCCACTACAACAATTAATCTACTGGATCCCAGCAGACCACACATGGAGGCCTCGCGCCCGCGGGCTGTTTTCTCCGGTCTGTGACGGCTGCTGGGAGAGACCTACATGCCCCGTTAGGAGCCCGTCAGAACACACATCCCCTGTTTTAGTCACGGAAACACCATTATACAGCATTATAGATTACATCTACAAAACTCTCCTCGTTGACTAAAACGTCTGTGTCGCAAGGAACCCCCCCCCCAACCCCCGAAAAAAAGTCGGACTAATCTGGACACAACATACCCCAACACAACACACTCTTTAAAGAGTTAGGCTAAAGACAAAAAATAGAAAGAGATAGATGGAGATATGAGGTTGTTTGTTAGTATTGGATTAGTTGTTTAAGTCATGTTAGGTAGATTAGACTATAAAAAGAAACCAAACAAAACATAAAGTAGGCTATAGACCACCCAGATTCAAAGCGAGACAGAGATTAGTCTAGCTACCAGTTGATCACGCCCCGGGTTCAGACGTTCAAGCGGACAGGCTGCATGTGTTGGGCTGGCCAAGTCATTTGGTCCATGGCATGTCTTATCGGCGCTAGCCTAGCCTAGCTGGGGACCAACAGTCAGTCAGGAGGAGAGTGGGGGGTTCCTTGGGACCCAGTCATCAACGAGGGAGAAGGTAGACTTCATTCACAGTAGCCACCACTATGAGTAGAGTATGGTAGAGTAGAAAACCGTTGACATTCACTGTAAAGGAAACAAGTGTCTGGTATTGTTGGTTTACATTTAGAGGGTGGTACATGTATTTGTTAATTAGATGAAGCAGTCCGATAATAGCCAGGGTGGAAGTGTAGACATGTTTGATAACTCACAGTATCCATATAACTGCTTCAACTATGATGGAGATGGATACCCCACCTGCAGCACGGATGAAGACAAGAAGATGTGTCGACCTGCTTACAGGTAGAGTGCTTATGATTAATATAGGATAAATAACTTATAATGGAATTATGAAGAGTATTGTTATTAGCATTATTCATGATCTAAGCTATTATAAATGATGTATTTAAGATATTACATTATGTTTAGTTCGTTTGAATATGTGTAAAAAATAACAAAATAAATTATAATTATTTTTGTATTTTATAGACCATAATATACATCACAAAGGAATGCAATGCAACCCATTTAAAATCTAAAAACCTTTTACTTACTATCAGTTACCTTATTTTCTTAATTTCAAATAACCAAATATTGTTTTATTATTTTATTGATTTCATTGTGGTATCTCAACAATCTCCTAATTAAATCAGTATCATTATTAAGAATATTAAACTAGTTTCCCTGAATATAATTTGAATCAGTCTTATCAAGATATTATTGGGCAGGGTTAGGTTACTTTCTAAATGTAATCCGTTACAGTTACCTGTCCCAAATTGTAATCAGTAACGTCACTTTTGGTTTACCAAAACTCAGTAATGTAATCGGCTTACTTTCAGGTACTTTTGGATTACTTTCCCCTTAATAGGCATGTAATCAGTTACTCTCCAACCCTGTTCTTGTGAATATCAATGTGAAAACCAACAAATAAATCGTTTTACTTTTTTAAACGTTCTGTCTGCCCTCTCTCCTCAGTTACATAGCGTTGATAGCCATGGCCATCCAGCAGAGTCCAGAGCACCGGGTCACCCTGTCAGGGATCTATGAGTTCATCATGAAGCGCTTTCCCTACTACAGGTCAGGAGCTTCACATGTCTATTCAACAGCCATTTTCTGAAGACCTTTCACTAATTCAGTTTGACAGAGTAGTGTTTCCTTTATCCACTACAGGTCCAACCAGAGGGCATGGCAAAACTCCATAAGACACAACCTCTCTCTCAACAGCTGCTTCGTTAAGGTAAGGGACCTTTTATCACATGTTGTGTGATGATATTTTATCATTTGATTAAGAATCATTATCAAACAGAGTACAAATGTTATCACAATCTTCTATACAAGTTTCACTTGATATCAGTCAGAAGAAAATATATAAGACTATAATATTTTATCCTGATTGATGAAATATTGTATGAAACTTTGAAAATATATTACAATAATAAGGTAACAAATAAGACAGGCATACACGTTTACATACAGATGTACAAATCGACTGTATGAATTGTAAGCAAATACTTTTTTGCACACAATATAATCAAACATGGTAACAGGCACAACACTGTTTCATTACAGTACCGTATATAGCGCTCACATTTGAGTGTAATCTCAAATATTATGGGGTTATTTCTCTTTTGTTATTGGTGAGTTTTTTATTTTCCGTCCAGGTCCCCCGCACGGAGGGAAATGAGAAAGGAAAAGGCAACTACTGGACCTTCGCCACCGGCTGTGAGTCCATGCTCGACCTCTTCGAGAACGGCAACTTTCGGCGTCGCCGGCGCCGACGCAACATGAAGCTAGGTTTCAGAGAGCCTGGGGAGCCTTTCCTCCCAGTAAACAACAATAACAACATCAACAACCAACAAGGAGGCTCCACCAGGCGGTCGGATCGTAACCCTAACCCCGACCCAGACTCCTTCTGCTCCCACAGACCAGGTCACCACAACCCCCTCAACCCCCACAACACCCTCAACCCCCTCAACCCAAACCAGCAGGGGAAACCAGAACCAGAGATTAAATTCAGTATTGACTACATCCTCTCCACCCCAGACCCCCCTCTGCCGGGCTTCAGACCCCCACATAGTGGTACAACAGGGCCCCACATACATGTTCTGGAGCCCCAACACCTCAACCTGCACTTCTGGACCCTGTGAGTGGCACAATCTTGACTAGAAAGAGAGAGACTACATCTGAAAGATTGGATGGTTTTTCCTCCATATCTGAATTAGTAAAGGAAGAGATCCAAAGACTGTCCTTTTGGGGATAATTTATTGACTTGTCCTGTAATTAAATAACATAGAGAGGTCCAGTATTGTGCAGTGTATCCTAGCTGATTATAATAAATGTACATTAGTCTACACTCAAAATAAACTTGTACACTGTTCATGGTCTTGGCATAAATGTTTACATGAAGCTTTATTCATAAAGTAGGATGTTCTGTTAAGAAGGTCTATGAAAATAATGATTCACCTATATATTATCTATAATCTATATATTATCTATAATCTATATAATATCTATAATCTATATAATATTTTGCCTATTTTAAGGATAGGATAATACAGAGTATGCTGACTGTATGAGAGTGTGACCTGTGATATCATCATAACCTATCAAGATTCAAAGGTAATAATCTCTACAATGTTTTGGGTTGGTGAAAGTGTCAAAGCAATGAACAAGATGAAGGGCACATGTCACAGCTGGTACTCAGCGCTTCAACCCTTGTTGCTGTGATTGAAGGAAATTATCATGAGGTTAAATTAATCCAGGCCAAGCCCTCTCCAAACCTAATCTTTCCCAATGACCTTTTAAATTCTCCTGACACTGACACACTCCATATTTAATCCAGCCACTCGATTAGAATACATTATATTCATATATTGTATATAGGAGTTTAAAACATGGGGTCTACTCTGCTAACATTTATTTCCCTGTTATGAGGAGGGATATCAATCATCGCCGGGTTTCTCTTGCTTGTTTGAAGGGACAATTTTCAATTTAACCTTTATATTATGCCGTGACTACATCATTCAGGACAGGAGGGGTTTCAACAGAACACAACAACACACTTAACATGAGTGGCATTTAATATAGCATTACACTTGCAAGGTGAGACCGAGATGTGACCCTAGTGAAATACAAGAGGGCTGCCATAACAACACTGCCGAAACCCCCGCCCGCCCAGCCTGACGCAATTATAATTAAACACACCAGCGTATGCCTCCTTTGCAAATCCTGTGATCGATCAGTGATATTAACATTCATACCTGCTTGGCCCTCCAGCCAACGTCTAGCACCACCGCTGTTATGGATCAGTAGGTTTCCATTAACGAAGCTGTTGATGTAAGGTGGCGCTGTGGATGTAGGCCTATTTGGGTAAATTAACGTAGCATAAAGTGCTGCAAGGCTGGTCTGGGTCTGCATGGGTCTGTATTGAGACACCAAAAGAGAAAGAGCACAGGCAGGGGAAAAGTCAGTGCACATATTATGTTGTCAATGAACGATCCTATTATTGCTGCAGCTGCTGGCTTAATGTCCTAGAATGGCCTCTATTAAATTACGTACAGTGGGGAAAAAAAGTATTTAGTCAGCCACCAATTGTGCAAGTTCTCCCACTTAAAAAGATGAGAGAGGCCTGTAATTTTCATCATAGGTACACGTCAACTATGACAGACAAAATGAGAAAAAAAATTCCAGAAAATCACATTGTAGGATTTTTTAAGAATTTATTTGCAAATTATGGTGGAAAATAAGTATTTGGTCACCTACAAACAAGCAAGATTTCTGGCTCTCACAGACCTGTAACTTCTTCTTTAAGAGGCTCCTCTGTCCTCCACTCGTTACCTGTATTAATGGCACCTGTTTGAACTTGTTATCAGTATAAAAGACACCTGTCCACAACCTCAAACAGTCACACTCCAAACTCCACTATGGCCAAGACCAAAGAGCTGTCAAAGGACACCAGAAACAAAATTGTAGACCTGCACCAGGCTGGGAAGACTGAATCTGCAATAGGTAAGCAGCTTGGTTTGAAGAAATCAACTGTGGGAGCAATTATTAGGAAATGGAAGACATACAAGACCACTGATAATCTCCCTCGATCTGGGACTCCACGCAAGATCTCACCCCATGGAGTCAAAATGATCACAAGAACGGTGAACAAAAATCCCAGAACCACACGGGGGGACCTAGTGAATGACCTGCAGAGAGCTGGGACCAAAGTAACAAAGCCTACCATCAGTAACACACTACGCCGCCAGGGACTCAAATCCTGCAGTGCCAGACGTGTCCCCCTGCTTAAGCCAGTACATGTCCAGGCCCGTCTGAAGTTTGCTAGAGTGCATTTGGATGATCCAGAAGAGGATTGGGAGAATGTCATATGGTCAGATGAAACCAAAATAGAACTTTTTGGTAAAAACTCAACTCGTCGTGTTTGGAGGACAAAGAATGCTGAGTTGCATCCAAAGAACACCATACCTACTGTGAAGCATGGGGGTGGAAACATCATTTTTCTGCAAAGGGACCAGGACGACTGATCCGTGTAAAGGAAAGAATGAATGGGGCCATGTATCGTGAGATTTTGAGTGAAAACCTCCTTCCATCAGCAAGGGCATTGAAGATGAAAAGTGGCTGGGTCTTTCAGCATGACAATGATCCCAAACACACCGCCCAGGCAACGAAGGAGTGGCTTCGTAAGAAGCATTTCAAGGTCCTAGAGTGGCCTAGCCAGTCTCCAGATCTCAACCCCATAGAAAATCTTTGGAGGGAGTTGAAAGTCCGTGTTGCCCAGCGACAGCCCCAAAACATCACTGCTCTAGAGGAGATCTGCATGGAGGAACGGGCCAAAATACCAGCAACAGTGTGTGAAAACCTTGTGAAGACTTACAGAAAACGTTTGACCTGTGTCATTGCCAACAAAGGGTATATAACAAAGTATTGAAAAACTTTTGTTATTGACCAAATGCTTATTTTCCACCATAATTTGCAAATAAATTCATAAAAAATCCTACAATGTGATTTTCTGGAGAAAAAAATGCTCATTTTGTCTGTCATAGTTGACGTGTACCTATGATGAAAATTACAGGCCTCTCTCATCTTTTTAAGTGGGGGAACTTGCACAATTGGTGGCTGACTAAATACTTTTTTCCCCCACTGTATATATTTCATGTTTGATTTATTTTTCTTGGGAAATAGTTTTTAATTAATCCAAACATTTTCGCAAAATATTTTAAATGCATTTTGAGGCTGTCTTTTGTATTATGTCATATTGAGCCAAAAACCTGACTTTACAGCTGGCCTATCTTGCGGAAATCACTCAGTTCTGCCTGCCTCCGAGACAAGACTCATCCCAATAAACGTGAACCTGCTGTGGGCTATGATGTAGGTAGGTAATGTTGAAATGTGCAGCGCAGGGCAGAATGAGTGGAATAGGGGAAAGCAATGATCTACAACGTTAATAACATCTAAATCATAAACACAAATAGGTAATTTAATCTACAGCGTTTGTTTTATAATTGGATTTGCTTTCTTGGGAGTCATTTTCAACACGACTATGATCATGAATCTCATTATAAATATTTGTGTTGTTTTTAAACAATACAATACAGGGTATGTTTATATATGAGGGAGGCTGTGTAATTTCTCCTTACTTGACTAACAACCATGATTTCCTTGAGCTGTGGTAGGAGGGGATTGGAGGGGGTAGGGATGCACCGTTTGATATATGGGATTTGCTTATGTACCAGAGTCCTACAATGGAATCCAGATTGCTGGGTAATGATATCAGGCTTGAATCTAGCTAATGAAGATGGGTTGGAATAGCCTGGGAAGCCAGAAAGGGCTCACATACATTTGAATCCATTTCAAACCCCATGTACAGTACAAGTCAAAGGGCCAGAGGTAGATTCGGCAGGGTGGAACATGCCACAGTTTTAAAATGTCTTCTTAAATGTGTTTTGAATGAGAAGATCACTGGATGTCAAATCAATGTCAGTTTAGACGTGTTTACAGTTAGATTCTATTTACTGTAGATCCTCCGGGCCCCTGTTTGTCTCATGCTACTGGGCTGTTAGGATGTCCCTGCTAGGAAAACCCGAAACTAGAAGGGCATAGAAATGAAATAGGACGTAAGATAAATATTTTACAGCACTACTCACTGAGAATTGGCATCTACTGCCTAGCAAGCAAGAATCGCTTTATATGTAGAGGCACTTCAGTGAATCTCAAAGAAACCAGAGTAATTTGTTAGTTAATTACTATGTAATTACGGTAGCTTACGATTTCTTAGTAAATACCAAGTAAACATCGGACTGTAAAATAAAGCGTAAGCCCTCATTTCTCCTCTACCTCCAGTTACATGTCTGCTTGTCCCAGTCAGGAAGCCTTGCTGTCCCAAATGGCACACTATTCCCTATACAGCGTACTATTTTTGACCAGGACCCATAGGGCTCTGATCAGAAGTAGTGCACTATGCAGGGAATAGGGTGCATTTTGGGACGCATGCTTAGTAAGACCATAGACAGAACACAATGTCTAATCCAATATTTGATGGACCAATCTGAGACATCCACTTGTTGTTGCTGAGTCAACGTTTTGTAAACCAACTTCAAGAACGTTATCTGTGACAACATCTATAGGGGTACAGCAGACTGCTTCAAAAAGCTAACTAGCATATTCACATCATATTGTCCCATATTTCAGTGTTCACGCTTCACAGTAGTTGTCCTTTGGCTGAAAATAAAATAAATAATATGCATTTATCACGAAATTATAGATCAGAAGACGGAAGACAATGAGATTCAACAGTTTCAGAATCAGACCTTGACTTTATTTAATTATTTCCTTGCAATTTTAAAGACTGAATTACACAGCATGCAATGTGTGTGTTATCATGACACAGCTCGCATGGCAGGCACATTGCACACCATGTACACACACACGCAACGAAACTACAATGCACCACAGCCCTGGTCAACACACACACACACATGTAACAGGGTTATATTGGTGATTCCCCTTGCCACTTTATTGTTAAGCCAATGGGTTTTTGGTTTTGTCTTGCCTTCACCTACTCAACATGGCATCTTATTGGCTGGTTGGCGTAGCTTGCTTACGAGGGAGGATGTTTCAGTTAGAATCGTCCCAGTGAACAAGC